TAGCCACTTGCCAGCAGTGCCAGCAATCCAGGCCGGTTCTCCCTTCTGTGCCCATCAGGGAATGGGACATGCGAGCAGCCAGTTGGTGGGAGAATGGAGCCGTTCTATTGGTTCAACGTCTGACATCTCCTGTATAAAAGAGTTGTCATCTGTCAAATGTTGCTGTTTCGCCGGTTCGTGGTTTGCCTTGCACTTTGCCATGTTAACCGTTACAATAAAGGTTGTTGTTAGGTTCAACCTGCTTGCCTCAGTTCCATTCTGCCTCATTCTCCCTACAGAATACAAACCTGTCTATCCTTTGATGCATGCTTGTACTTTTTAAAAAAATCTGAAAAAAGCACCTTGGTCAACAGTGGTATCACTAGCTGTATTTTCTTCTTCATTCTGCATTTCATTAACCAAAAGGCATGTCATCTTTCCTTAGATACCTTTAATTTCTTTACTTTTTTACCTTAGTCATGTGCGCAGAATAGAGTTTTGGAGTTTGACGTATTTCTACAACTTGGACAGGTCTATGTATTCCACTGTGCCTGAGATATATGATATCCTATAATTCTAGTCCTTCTATTTTAATAATAAATGTATTTTTTGTTTCTTCTTGGGGTTTTCATAAATACTTCCATGAACATGTCGCTGTCTCTGCCATTGTTCACTGGATTGCATCCCACCAAAGACAAATGGGGACATGACCAGATTTTCTAGGGCACAGGTTTCAAAGTCGCCACGTCATGTTGCCATCACATGATGTATTACGATGATTTTTCCCTTTGTGGAGCTGTGGTGGGCATGGCCTGTGTGTGATGCATTCATCCCGCGGGCCACCAGTTTGAGATCCCTATTCTAGGAGGAGAAGAATACCGTGACATAAATAAATGAATATAAATAAAAATCAAAACTTTTTCTTGGGAACTGATAAGAGAGATCTTCCAGTGAGAGAATATGTCAAAATAATTCATTTCATTGCTTTAAACCACCAGGTTCAAAATGTGAACAAGATGAGAAGAAACAGTGGCCAGGTAATAATCTAAAATAGCTTTCAACCATCATGTGTCAAAATAATTCCTGAAAAGTTGGAAATCATCAAATCAAAAAGATTGTCGAGGGAGCAATTATGTCAGAGAATGAAGCTTATATGGAGTCAAGTTGCAATTTCATGGAATAGTATTTCTAAGGGTATGAGAATTTGTAGGTATAATTTCCATAATCATGTCCTGGTTTGATACTCTGAAAAATTAAATCTTTGAGTCAAAATGAAATTCAGGTGGCTTCACTGAGAAGTCAAAGTTGTTTTCTAGGCAAAATTCAGAAGTATTTCTTAGGGATGTATGAAAAGGAAGGAAGGAAGGAAGGAAGGAAGGAAGGAAGGAAGGAAGGAAGGAAGGAAGG